TTCAATCTCATGAAGACACGTTACCTCCTCGGAAACCTCTAATATCAAACCAACGGTTAACACAAATAGATCACATAGGTGTAAGCCGTCGTTGGAAAGGATCGGTGGGGGATTGACGCTCTTTTGGAGAACCTGCCTGAACTCAGACTACGCGTTAGTACAGACACATGAAACACGGCAGTAAAGCCTTTTTACGCTCGACTGTAAGATGAAAACGGCAAATATGTAGTTAAAAAGATAGGCATTTTTTTTAAACATGGCACCAATTCTCCCTTTAATAAAGTTTAAGGTAATACTAAGTCTGTTATAGAAACGGTGGTAGCGAGTTGATGGCTTACATACGATGATTAACGAAAGCCGGTAAATTTTTATAACCTCGTTCAAACTGATATATGAGAGATTTACTCCAGCTAGTTTTAATTATGAAGAAGACCAAAAGCAGCTTAAACGCAAATTGACTAACAGTCTTCGAAATGATTGCCAGCCGTGGTGAGTAGCAAAAGCAAAAAAGCCGGACAAGACATCAGCATTTGGTATTACTTGACAACCATTTCGGCCTATTAGGGAAAGAGGCAAGTAGAAGCCAATTGGTAGCGAAGTCACCTCTCTTTGGATCAACAAACATCCTTCTGCAACTCTGAGTACTTCAAGTATCCTCAAAATTGAGGGGAGTGCACCAAATTTGAAATGATGCAAAGTGACTGATAGACTGACGAAATCAACGCAGAACCTCGCACACAAGTCCATTGGCTCAAGTTGCTACACTTTACAGCTGCATACAGAAAACAGGTGGATAGAAAAACAAAGATATCAAAATAGAAAAAGTTGTGCAGCAGAATAAACAATCTGAAAATAACGGTTAGTGCAAACATTCAAACTTTAGAAGATATCGAAGAGTGAATATATCTGCGCCAATGTGACCGATTTCCAGCCATCACCAAGGGTCTTCAACAACTGATTTCTTCCACTTCGCGGACCTCAACCAGGCAGTCCACATCTCCCAACATGGCTCATATCAGCAGTAAGAGATTAAATGGACTAGAACTACATGTTGGTTTGACTACCGTGAACTCTCTTCCAACCTGATCCGGCTTCTGGTGTGGCACCTCCAGGTAGGCAGTGACGCGACATCTGTAAGACATGTCCAAGCCAGTCCAGTCGACCAAGGTTCACTACCTCGTCAATCAACCTGCTTATCTCGTTTAGTAGCCTTCGCTTGACGCTAACACTGCTCACACGTTGATTCCACCAGATGCAAGCAATGTTACGAAGACATCTGTGATCAAAATCCAGTAATCGCCTCAAATCTCCTATTTTCAACGTCCATGAGTCACAGCCGTTTAACAGGAGAGGACGGATAGCAGAACAGTATACTCGTCCTTTGACTGATAGTCGCATATCTCGCCAGTGTGTGCCACAAATGAAAAAGTTGGTAAACGCCAAAAGAGGCCTTCCGTATGTCAGCAACCAGTCCACTCAGGTTTCTGCAACACTCCAGGTAAGTGAAGAGGTAGACATTCCACCACTTAAACCGTGATCCTAAAATTAGAAGCTGATGTGGACCAATCAATAGGAATCACCTTAACTTTTGACAGGTGCGAAACGAATTCCAAACACACTCAGATTTCTGCCCTAAGGTTTCAAAAAAAAACTGCACTGCATCAGCGTCTTCACTAAGCAGGACAACCGAGTCTGCACATTTCAAGTAAACCAGATGGCCTCAAGGGAGTAAATCAATAAGTCTGAAGTCAGATATACATACGTTTATGCCTATTAGCACATCTCCAAAGAAGTAATATCGGAAAGACGTCAATGGGCATATGTCGTGGACACCGCCATTCGTCGTCGAAAATAGCAAGAAGTAACGGTTTACAACCAAAAAGTTTCAAAAACGAGGTACGAAGTTACTGACTAGAATATTCGACATATTCGGTAGGGTATGGGAGTCAGAGTTGCTTAAGTCAGAATAAATTACACCCGTTATACAATCTTCAAAAAAACGGCGCAGATGTTTTCGTGCAGCAAACACAGCGGAAAGAAAATAACTGACATCACACCCACGATTCCACGGTTCACAGTGAAATAATGGACAATATTTGTAGCTCAAGTGGATGGTTTTGATTGTATTGTGTTCTCGGAGCTGGGTTATTTAACCGTTTAATCGACTAAACAACCACGCTCAGAGAACACAATACAACCAAGGGTTCATAGTTATCCAACATTTAACTTGAGAACAGCAAACTTCGACAGGTTTCGGGACACAGACACATTAACCGACGTCTGAAACCTACAATATTTTCGACCTGATGGCGGTATTCGACTCTGTCGATCGAAAAGTATTGTGACAGTGTCTCACTGTGAAGGCATTACCGAACAAGTACGTATCGTTAATCTAAGCTTTCCGTTCGTACTCATGCAACTGTATGATTGCTCATAGGGACTATCATATGAAATGACGACAACCAGTGGTGTCCACCAAGGACACCTGTTGTCACTATTTCTAACTTCGTTATAGACGTTTTAATGGATATGACCTAAGGTACCCCCAACTTTGCAGGGATTGACTTACCAGCGGAGGACATCTGGTCGACTCAGAGTGTGTGAAGGACATTGTCCTGCTGGGTGAGAACACTGAAAAAATGCAGGGTCTTCAGAAGTCCCTGAATAGAAGTCTGAGTATGTTTGGCATACGTTTCGCGTCTGTCAAATGCAAGATGATACCTATAGATTGGTCCACGTCAGCTTCTAATTTTAGGACAGGGAGAGAAGTGTCGGAGTACGTCGACCACTTGATTGGGAAGTCGCATCAGTTCAAATGTGTTGATTAAGTCTCAATTCAGATACAAATGCCTTTTTGGTCCTTGCCAACTTACGCCGCTTTTGTGCAGACGACACATCCAACTACCTACTACAGAACGAGTACGTTGCTCTACAGTCCATTCTGTCCTATCATACAACCGTGAAACATGGCTGTTCAAAGTGAATGTTAACAGACTACTTGTTTTTAAACACAGGTATCTTCGCAGTGTTGCTCACGTGCGACGGGTACTGGGCAAAAGAGGGTAAGTCGCTCGACTAGGTTGTGAACCTTCACCAGCTGAGCTGACCTGAACATATGTTCCACGTGTCAATCAACTACCTGGCTCGATTTACAATCTTAACCGAAGCGGAATCGGGTTGGGAAAGGGCTCAGAGTGGCCAGACGAAGGTGTAGCATCAGTTTATGAAACCTCTAACTGTTGACCTGAGCCATGTAGAGAGGTGTAGACTGCCCTTCTGGGTTCATCGAGATAACAGGAATCAATGGTTGAAAACCCTTGGTTGGATGGTTAAGAATCGGTCACAATGGTGCAGATGTATTCACTCTTTGACATTCTAAAAAGTTTGAACATTTTCCCTAACCTTGGTTTTCAAATAAGTTCTCCCACCACAAAGTTTGTCTACTTTGATATCACTTTTGTCCTAAGCATTTGCTCTTTGCATGATTCTGAAGTGCAGCAACTGCTACCGACGCGCTTATTTGTGAGGTTCTTATTTGATCTATCAGTTTGTTTGTACCGGTTTGAGATTAGCTGTTAAGTGATTTATACTACGATTCGGTGCAGTCAGCTGTGTGTCAGATCTGCAAAATCTGACCACCAATCAACTTGCACACAATTGGAAGAGTCGAGGGGAAATGCAATATACGCGTTTATGGAGGATATAGGGGCATATCTGAGCATGACGTAGGTAGTTAGTGATTCTCTGAAGTTACCAGTATGTTTTGAATGTGCTTTCAGCAGTTTTTATACTGTCTGGAGTCTGCTCTCTTAGTGGTTTGAAGAAGGGGGGGAGTGTTCAGTGCAAGACGTGGTCCTGAGAAGAGATGATGGTTGGATGAAGTGTGTTGATACTTGTTGTTACCTCAGGACTCTCTGGTTGCAGTCCTAGAGATCACGCGACTTAGTGACGTGAAACGTCATCAGATACAATTCAAAATCAAAGCTTGTGAAAAATAGGAAAAACACAATGAAAGCCTCTTTGAATAAAAAGAACCGACAGTTTGAACTCTTTTTTGTATGGCATGATGTTTGGTAATTTTAATCCGAGTCAGCGAGGGCAATTTCAAATCGACAGAGATAATTGACCTTATACAGTTGCTGCTAACCTATTGCACCAACGGTTGGGAACAAATAAAGCTGTCTATAAATATGAAGATAACAGCTGTGTTAAATGTGAATGTAGTCGGTAATTTCTTTATACTAGTTTTACTCTCAAGTTGTCAACTAACCCAATGAAGTCGATATGCAAAGAACGCTAAAAGAATGCAAAGAAAAAGGCATAATACGCCCGTAAGCAATGGATTTATCTGTTAAGAAATTATTATTGCTACTTTCTGATGTTGTTTAGTAACATAACAAAAAGCCCATTTAGTAAAGAAACTAAACGATATACACGACGATCATCTCTACCTTATTGATAAAGCTGCTTCTTGAAACCTAATTTCGGATTCCTAGCGGACTTCAGTATTTTGGCAGAAATTTTTGAATATGATTTGACTAGTAAATGACCTATTACAGATACACTGTCACAATCTTCAAAGAGTTAGGTAATGCATAAGTAGTTTTGACTAATATCTATACTACTGATATAATTATTTTGCTAACTGCAGCTTTGATCTTTCGTATTTTATTTCTTGATGTTATGTCCCATCAAATTAGTTCGTATTCATCAATCACGTTTAGTGCTGTGATTATACAAAACCAGGCAGTTGTTTATCTGTAAAATTTAGTTTTATACATTATATTATCCATGAAGGCGCTACATGCTGTCGAATTGTCTTTAACTTCACGAGACAAAACTTAATTACATTTTTACTATCGCTACCCAAAGCTACTACTTCTGACTAGCAAAATATAAAACGTTGCACGTTTTTGGAACCATAAGTATTGGAAGACAAAAGTCACCAGGAAATTGCTTTTGTGTTTTGGGTTTAAAGACAGAACACTTCTTGAATTTACCTCATATTCCAGTGATTCCTCTTCACGTGATTCAGTACTGGTGTATGGAACATCTAGTAAATTTACTAGCTCGTCGTTTTCACCCGAATGTATCGAATCATCCAAGGATATATCAGAATCATTCAGTTCTTCATCCATTTGCTAAACGATTCAAGAACATGAAAGATCGAAATAATAATATGTGAACATTACAACAATAATTAAAAACTAATGCATATAACATATGGGATTCAACCCATATGGTAGTATGTGCGATCATGAAAAGTACACTAATTTCTGCTGCAACTCAGTCTGTATAACGGTATGAACTGTCGTTACTGCACTTTCTTTCACCTTTAGTGACCCACTGGGAAAGTGAGACTGATTGGTAGAAAAAAAGATCTGTAAAGAAAATAGTACATAAATGATTTGAGACTAATGGAGATCTCCTTATGGACTGTCAGTCCGTGATGAATACTACCATAAAAAAATCCACATACACCTCAAACTAACCTAGCCTGGCTAACTAGTTCACTAATTACTGGCCGGTCCTAAGCCCGGGTAAAGGGGGAAGGTTGGACATAGGGCTAGCAACCCTACCCCGTAAAACAAATCCAACCGCTAAAGAAACTTCAAAGCACAATCAAAATATTAAAAATAAAAACAAACTTATTCCTCGCTGGAATCCGAGAGACAAAATGATGCCAGTTGATGAAAGCTTTCGGGAAGCCAATTGGCCGATGTGTCTTCTCTCGATGAAAGCAAAAGAAAGCATGGGGACATGGAATGTCCGCACCATGTTTGAAACCAGCAAGGCAGCCCAGGTTGCAAACGAGATTAGAAGTTATCGCATGGAAGTGCTAGGAATTTGCTAAAGCAGATGGAATGGGAGTGGACTCTCCAAACTGTCAACTGGAGAGTCAATAATCTACTCAGATATTGTCACCCAGACGAGCGGTCTAAGGCGCTAGATGAAAATCACGAACACACTCAGTTATGGAGTGGCTATCATGATGGCCCCGACAGTATCGAAGGCTCGCATGCAGGATCATGACAGCAAGGTTCAACTCAAAAGGAAGGAAAGTCACAATCATTCAATGCTACACTACGCAACCACAAATAATGCAAGTGAAGAGAAGAAGGAGGAATTCTACAGACTACTGCAATCAACACTGGGCATCAAAATTTTAATGGGCGACATGAATGACAAACTGGGAGCAGATAACACAGGAAGAGAACTAACCATGGATCGAGAAGTGCTAGGTGAAATGAACGAAAAGGGAAAATTGTCTGCAGAGTTCTGTGCATTCAACGATTTGGTGATTGCAGTGAGGCACTGTGTTCAAGCGCAAGGACATCCACAAAGCGACATGGATTTCACCAGACACCAAGACACACTAAAAATCAGATCGACTTTATCTCAATCTCAAGAAAGTGGAGACGCAGCCCACTTGACACAAGGTCAAGAAAAGGAGCAGATTTAGGCTCAGACCACTATCTAGTTCCAGAAACCTTCCAAATCAAGTTAAAAGCCTTCAAGGAAGCTGGTGATAAACCACAGTTCAAGTTCAACACCCAGAAACTGAAAGACGAAACTACAAGGGACATCTTCACATCAGCCATTAAGAAAAAATGGGAGATATCAAGCAGCATCCCTGAAGAAACCTGTGTGGAAGAACACTGGAAGCCTTTGAAAACTATATGGAAAGAAACCTGCATAACCGTATTAGGAAGGAAGAGGAAACAAGACAAGAAATGGATCTCGACGGACACATGGAAGCTGATGGAGAAAGGAGAGGAGGATGGTGAAGCAGAAGATAAACCAGTGTAAGGATGCACAACGACAAGAGGAACTGAGCACAATGTATAAAACACTGGACAAAGAAGTGAAGAAGAATGCACGGAAAGACAAAGACACTTCTACGAAACATTGCTAAGTGAAGCAGAACAGGCTGCAGGTAGGAGAGACCTAACCACATTCTATCAAATAAGCAGGTTACTATCTGGGAAGAGATCAACGCAGATGAAACCAATAAAAGATGATGAAGGAAATATAATTACCAAAGAAGAGAAACAAAGGAAACGGTGGGCCGACCACTTCAAAAAGCTCTTGAATCGACCACCACCTGCAGCCCAGCCACACAACTACCAGTGAACCCATGCCCCCCGACAAAAGCAGTATTGAAGTCCTGAATGTCATAAAGTTGCTGAAGTCTAGGAAAGCAGCAGGACCAGATGAAATTCCTTCAGAAGCACTGAAAACAGACGCAGAGTCATCAGCGGACATGCTCACACCACTATTGCAGAAGGTTTGGAAGGCAGGGCAGGTACCTGGTGATTGGAAGAAGGGATACCTCACCAGCGGACTCACAAAGAAGGGCGACCTAAGTCTTTGCAAGAACTGGTGTGTAATCATACTCCTGTCCCTGTCCAACCCAAGCAAAATATTAAGCCGCATCATCCTGGAGAGACTAAGGTATGCTCTGGATTCAAAATTATGACCGGAACAGGCTGGAGTCAAGAAGTACAAATCATGTGCGGACCAAATTACAACGCTTCGAATCATCATAGAATAGAGTATAGAATGGCAGTCAACCCTCTACCTCAACTTCATCGACTTTGAAAAGGCCTTTGACAGCGTCGACCGAGAAGTAATTTGGCAACTGCTCCAACACTACGGAATATCACAAACCTTCATCAACCTCATTCAATAACTATATGAAGATGCCACATGCCAAGTAATTCACAATGGGAAGCTCAGTGATGCACTTGAAGAGAAGACAGGAGTGAAACAAGGTTGCCAACTATCATTCATGATCTTCCTGATTGTAGTGGATTGGACTGGATCATGCAACAAAACAGTGAGAAGCGAGAAGAGGGGGATACGCTGAACTGTGGAAAAGAATCTAGAAGATTTGAATTTCGCCTATGACTTGTATCTAATGTCGCACAAACTTGAAGATCGACAGGCGAAAACAAACAAGTTGACAGAATAGGCAGCGGAGACAGGATTCCAAGTGAATATAGAGAAGACGGAGGTGAAGGAGATACCCAACCAACCAACCAACAACAACAAACTCCAGTCACCATCAACGGGAGAAACTTGAAGGAAGTAACCTCCTTCACCTATCTAGGAAACACTGTTTCAACTACAGGTGGCACAGACGAGGATGTCAAAGTCAGAATCGGAAAGACAGCAAAACAGGCTTTCATTAACCTGAAACCAGTGTGGAGATCTTCTGCACTTCACTCAGCATGTGGAACAACATCCGGATTTTCAACACCAACGTCAAGTCAGTGCTTCTGTATGGTTCAGAGACTTGGCGCGTTACGAAAAAGATTTCCAACAAACTACAGACATTCATCAACAACTGCCTACACTGGCTTGTTACTGAAGATCAGACGGCCAGAATAACAAGAATAAGCAACAAGGAAATGTGGCTGGCTGGCAACGAACCAACCAAGAACCTATCGTTGAACGAATATGCAGAAGAGAGTGGAGATGGATTAGGCATACACTGAGAAGGCCGACTGGGGACTTCATGCTTCAGGCCAGGCCCTCAAGTGGAACCCCGATGGGAAGCGACGAGTTGGGCGTCCGAGGGTGACATGGAGATCGTGTGGGGAAGAAATGAGAGCTTCTGGGCTGTAGTGGAGCCAGGTTCAAAAGATTTCAGAGGACGGAGCGCACTGGAGACGTGCTACTAAAGCCCTATGTTCCATAAGGAACCCAAGGGACAAATAATAATAATAATAATAATAATAATAATAATAATAATAATAATAATAATAATAAAGAAGGAGGAATTCTACAGACATCTGCAATCAACACTGGACAAGACCTCAGTTGGCAACATCAAAATTCTAATAAGCGACATGAATGCCAAACTAAATTACTGTAATGTTCATTAGTGACATGCCTCAAGATGGATGTCAACTTATGAGGGGCTTTACCATGGGTTAATCAATAGGAAGCGAAGAGCGTGTCAACTGAAGATTTTGGTAGATAGTAGCGATACGTGGCGAATTGACTGAGGAACATTGAATTCCGACCGAGTAGCTGAACTGTTGACGCGTTCGCCGTGAAACCTGAAGGCACTGAGTTTAGTCTCTGATAGCTTTGCGGGTTCGTACTATTGGGAAGCCTCATACAGCTGCCCAGTGCCTAAAAGTTTCCAATGGTTCTAAAATGAAGTCAATCCATGATGACAGTACGCACATAAGTGGCGCTGAGGAATATTAGAGACAGCGGGTAATGCATTCCAAACGCGAACAGTTACCAATACGCGGGCAGCCAGGTAGTCAGGCAGATAAGATCATATAAAAACCTCACAAATAAGCGCGTCGGTAGCAGTTGCTGCACTTCAGAATCATGCAAAGAGCAAATGCTTAGGACAAAAGTGATATCAAAGTAGACAAACTTTGTGGTGGGAGAACTTATTTGAAAACCAAGGTTAGGGAAAATGTTCAAACTTTTTAGAATGTCAAAGAGTGAATACATCTGCACCATTGTGACCGATTCTTAACCATCCAACCAAGGGTTTTCAACCATTGATTCCTGTTATCTCGATGAACCCAGAAGGGCAGTCTACACCTCTCTACATGGCTCAGGTCAACAGTTAGAGGTTTCATAAACTGATGCTACACCTTCGTCTGGCCACTCTGAGCCCTTTCCCAACCCGATTCCGCTTCGGTTAAGATTGTAAATCGAGCCAGGTAGTTGATTGACACGTGGAACATATGTTCAGGTCAGCTCAGCTGGTGAAGGTTCACAACCTAGTCGAGCGACTTACCCTCTTTTGCCCAGTACCCGTCGCACGTGAGCAACACTGCGAAGATACCTGTGTTTAAAAACAAGTAGTCTGTTAACATTCACTTTGAACAGCCATGTTTCACGGTTGTATGATAGGACAGAATGGACTGTAGAGCAACGTACTCGTTCTGTAGTAGGTAGTTGGATGTGTCGTCTGCACAAAAGCGGCGTAAGTTGGCAAGGACCAAAAAGGCATTTGTATCTGAATTGAGACTTAATCAACACATTTGAACTGATGCGACTTCCCAATCAAGTGGTCGACGTACTCCGACACTTCTCTCCCTGTCCTAAAATTAGAAGCTGACGTGGACCAATCTATAGGTATCATCTTGCATTTGACAGACGCGAA